ACCATCGGGAAGTGACCGGCGATGGCTTGACCGTCGGCGTGGGCTGGATCTCGTAAGGAGTCGTCATGGGTTGTTGCTGGTTTATTGTTGTCGTGAGCTGGTTGGCGCAAACTGGAAAATGAGCAGTTCCCGACCAAAGTGCCATACGATGGGACGCGGCGCGGAGCTTTGAAGCAGCGCGAGACGACATAACTGTGTGTTTCGCGAGGTGGCTACCACCCTTGTCCCACGGCTCGCGCGCACGAACCAACTGCCATGCATGGGAAGGGGCTCTTTAGTTTGTACATGTTCAGTGTACTACACCGTTAGACTGTTTGTTTCAACGGCCGCGTAGTCGGATCAACGGTTTTGATCATGCCAGAACCGTCCTCACGACCGCTAGCTACAGCTATGATGTCTTCGCCGGCGCGATCTCCGCCGTGCATCCGATCCACTGCGACGCAGACGCTGGCGTCGTTGGCCGCGCCGACGTGCTGTGCACTTGTGTCTCGCTGTTGGCTGTTTGCCTCTAGGAGTGAGACGGACGGGGTTCGTGTTGGGAGGCCGCCTCCGCCCAAGAAGGGACTGGTGGGTGGGTTAAAAGAGCGTTGAGTTACGAATAGGCCTGGAGCTTGACGAGGTTTCCACTCTTGGCGATTGTACCTTGCTATAAGAAGCGAGCTGGTTGCGCCACCATCTGACATGACGGCTTGGCAAAGCGGTTCAAGATGGGACCCTTGCTTGGCCTTGGTACAAAAACACAGCTTCACGTGTTCCGCGAGAAACTATTTCTTTGCAGGGGTCCCATCACTTGCTTTCAAGGTTGGGGGTCGATGTACGATCCATCTCGCAGATCCATTTCGATTCGTGAACATCCAATGTGGCACAGCTGGATATCGCGCTCGCCTCGGTGGCGTCCATAAAGTGTCCATGCAGCTTGCTTCTCGTGCATCATGGGTATGGAGGTGTACTGTGCTAGAACCGCTTGGCCTCTTCGTGGTCGACGCGCTCTACTAGGCGGCCATGGGCTGCGGTGCCCGACTGCAGCGGGTTGGCGAGCTTTGGCGCACGGTTGGCGTACTTGGCCAGCAGCGATTCGATGGTCGGGTCGATGGCCAGGCCCTTTAGGTAGAACGAGTACGCTTCGGCGTCGTTGCCACGGTCTTGGGCGACCTGCGCCGCGTTCATCAACAAAGTAACCGAGTCGGGAAAGCGGTGCAAGCCCGAGGTGAGAAGCTGCGCCGCTTCGTCGAGCCGGCCGCGATGTCGCAGGCGTACTGCTGCGTTGTTGTAGATCTCGAGACACTGCGTGTGGACGTACTCCATGTACAGGTCCAAGCGCCATCCACGTCGCCGCTTTCTTCCAGCGACAAGGCAAGCATGTTCTGCGCGGCGCACGGCGGCGCGAGCTTTTCTAGGTCGTAGCCTCGGGCGCGCACGGCGTCGTTGGCTTGCACTGTGGAGCGGAAGTGCCTACGCCCATCTCAAAAAGCTTTTGAGCTCTCGGCATACGATATACATACGTGACAGCAGTTCCAAAGTCGCTCATGTAGTAGGCTAAAAGACCGCGCGCGTAGAAGAGACCGGGCATGCTCGCGCCTTGGGCGATCGTATAGTCGAGCAGCTGATGCGCGAGCTTGCACGCGTGCGTCGTGTTGCTCCTCGGAAATTGCGTTTGCTGCGACGCGAGGTAAAAGCTCGATGCACACCGGCCCAGATACGCATACGCCTACGATGGCGCGTTTGTTTCAATATGTCAATTCAGTACTATCAAAGTATCGAGAGGACACACAAACACGTACTGCAAGGCTCGCGTCGACGTCGATCGAGTGGAGAAGGTTCTGCATCGCATGCGATGGTTTCTCCACGCGAATGAAGACCAGCCCGAGGTTCAATTGACCAGCGGCATAGCGTGGCGCGACCGAGAGCGCACGTTCGAGGTACGCGGCGGCCCGCGGCGGGTCGGGTCCGAGCAGCACTTTGGACAACTTGCTACGGCCCTTGACGCTCCATTGTTCCAAAGACCCTTTTTACAGCGGTACTGGACTCGTTGACGAGCTTTGAACACAACGGAAGTAGATAGGAAAATGAATGATGCATTACGAAATACTTCGAGTGATGATATTCTGCGGACCGCCTACGCCATGTAGCCCGGCAGCGTGTCCTTGGGCCCGAACGCGCACGAGCCCTTGTCGTACGCGTCGACTTGCGTCGCCATTTGCGCGATCGCGCAGCAGTTGCAGAAAAAGCCGCAGAGACAGTCGACACAGCAGTTGCCCGGAATCCGGAGCTTGTCGCGGACAATGTTGCGCACAATCATGACACAAACGCCGCATGCAAAGCTAGCACAGCCCGAGGCGATCGCCCAGTAGCTGTACTGAGTGTCGAAGACGTAGCCTTCGCCCGGGTACGTCGAGTACTGCCCCGCGACAACCGACGTGATGGACGCCGCGAGGTACACAGCGCCGAAGACGAAGAGGCCCATGATGTACGAGCCGAGGCCGATGCGGTGCCCGATCTGCGCAAGCGAGACGCACGGGCACCAGTAGGCCATGCAGCAGTTGGGAATGACGTCGGTAAAGCAGCCACAGATCCCGACCTTCCACTGACCGACGACGAGGTTGTTGGCGTCGACCTCCATACCATCGGGAATGACCGGCGATGGCTTGACCGTCGGCGTGGGCTGGATCTCGTAAGGAGTCGTCATGGGTTGTTGCTGGTTTATTGTTGTCGTGAGCTGGTTGGCGCAAACTGGAAAATGAGCAGTTCCCGACCAAAATGTGATATCTTTGTTGTTGTTTGATTCAAGGGAGGGTATTGAGACGACATTTCCAGCTGGAACATGATTTAAACGTGGTGGTCGGTCGGCTACATTCCTCGTTCATCTACATATGATAATATATATGAACGTGTTCCGCGTTATCTTCCTTACAAAGAGTTCGCATACGTAGTGCTACGTTTGAATGCGTGCGAGTTGGCACCAGCACTTGGTCGTTGGGAGTGAGCATGATATTATAATAGAGCACACAAGTTGTACCTCTCTTGCAACCCACAGGATGCGCTTCCCATCTCACTCGTGACAAACACCGGGCACATACTATGGCTTGTCGCTGGACCACATGGACGGACCCTGTCCACCTGCATATGTACACGCGAGCACCCTCTGACCAACATTCAGAAATGGACCGCTCTCATCCCATGCTGGTGATGAGAGTGTTGGTTTTGGACGCGACCAAGTCCTACGACCACCAGATGGGCGAGAGCCGGCGTTGCAGGGGTCGCGTTAGGATCCTTGTATACCGCTAATTGCCGTGTATTCTATCAATGTAGTGTTATCCATGCACTTCCCTCTCACTACGCCGTGCAAGAGTTCTGTACCGACATCAGTATTCTGGTGCGCTTGGGGTCGTTGCAGCTGTGGTTGCCCAGATAAGTTAGTACACGACGAGTTTCACCGCCACAAGAAGTATTCTACGAGACAAGGATTTCAGGTGTCGCTCATGGTAATACCAGATGCGCACTGAATTGTTTTGCCTGGATACTCTTCGTCGTGCTTGCTACACCCTTGGTCAGCACGGCAGCATATTTCCATTAGCTTTTTGGCTACGCACATCTCCAACATGTCCACTGCCCAACCCACGCCTAGCACGACCAAGACGGCACCGCCGACGGTCAAGCCATCGCCGGTCATTCCCGATGGTATGGAGGTCGACGCCAACAACCTCGTCGTCGGTCAGTGGAAGGTCGGGATCTGTGGCTGCTTTACCGACGTCATTCCCAACTGCTGCATGGCCTACTGGTGCCCGTGCGTCTCGCTTGCGCAGATCGGGCACCGCATCGGCCTCGGCTCGTACATCATGGGCCTCTTCGTCTTCGGCGCTGTGTACCTCGCGGCGTCCATCACGTCGGTTGTCGCGGGGCAGTACTCGACGTACCCGGGCGAAGGCTACGTCTTCGACACTCAGTACAGCTACTGGGCGATCGCCTCGGG